TTCAAAACATGTGAGTCTATTATATGTTTGTGTAGAAAAATCCTGAAAAAAAGAGCCTGACGGGTTCCTGCATGCAGGTCACCCTGTCCCTAGGGGGGCACTTTGGGTGAGCTCCAGTAGAAGCTCTGGTAGCAACAGCTGGGGCAGACAGCTGTGGGACAGTCTCTGATTCCACTGCAGGACCTGTGGGAAGAGGCCAAGTGGCCCCAAAAGTCACTGTAGACAAAATCAAGAAGTGGCTGCTGCCAGAGCTGATAATGTCATGTTTATGGGCTTCTAGATAATATTAACAGTATCTAACATTTATTGGGCACTTATTTACTGGACACTTTATATGCATTTTCTTTTCTTTTTCTTTTTTTTTTTTGGTTGAGACAGAGTCTCGCTCTGTCACCCAGGCTGGAGTGCAGTGGTGCAATCTCAGCTCACAGCAACTTCTGCCTCCCTGGTTCAAGTGATTCTCCTGCCATAGCCTTCTAAGCAGCTGGATCTACAGGTGTATGCCACCATGCTTGGCTTATTTTTAGTATTTTTAGTAGAGACGGGGTTTCATCATGTTGGCCAAGCTGGTCTTGAACTCCTGGCCTTAAATAATCTGCCCACCTTTGCCTCCCAAATTGCTGGGATTACACGCGTGAGCAACCACGACTGGCTGCATTTTCATTTAATGTTCTTAACATCCTCAAGAGATATCTCTAAGACAAGTATTAATTGCCCTGTGTTACCCATGAGGAAACAAGCCCGGAAAGTTTAGGTGACTTATCCAGTGTCACAAAGCTAGGAAGTAGGTGAGCAAGTTAAGCATTAAACCCAGATAGATGTCTGACTCCAGAGCCTACATCTGCATACAGGAGGCATCTTATTTTTTATTGCTATGGCAAGAGGGGAGAGGGAATGATAATGAATAAATGAAAAACAGTAAGGAAATGAATGAAAGTTGCTTCTGGAATTCGATACTTCTGAGAACAGTACCCCATGGCTTTTATGAACTTGCCCAGAATAGTCACTGTCCTCAGTGACTGCAGCTACTGTTACAGAATGGAACAAACTGCAAATCCCTTGTGTCTTGCCAGATCCCACAGTGGAGGCCCTCTCTCTGTGTTCTGGGTATGGTTAGGATCTGGCCTGGGTTAACACTTTGCTCTCCTTACTGATGAAGGCAGACCCAGTGGGGGCAGCTGGGGACAGGCCTGGTGAGATCTTAAAGGTTCCCAAAATAGGAATAGCTATTTCTCTTGTATTCAGGGACAAGCCTGTAAAATGGGACTCTACCATCTTTGGTGCCATCTGTCACAGAATTTCTTGGGCAGTACCAGCCCCACCCCCTAGCATGGCTTACATTATCCAGGAGGTGCCCTTTTCAGCCACGTATGCCTCTTCCCCACTTAAGACCCCTGCCCAGCCTATGCCTCCTTTCCCAGCCAGTGCACCCTTCTGCAACTGTGCCCAATCCCCAGCCATTCCCCCAGACCCTGTGAACCCCTTGCCTAACAAGTGCCTCCTCCCCCAGCCAGGTACTCTCCTCTCTTCAAAAGCCAGGAATTCCTTTTTCATCCTATACCAACTTTATGCCAACTAGTCTCCCTTCAGCAATGAGTGTCCTTGTCACCAGCCTATTTCCCCTTCCGTGCCCAGGTGTACTTCCTTAACCCTGCTCCTCAGTCTAACTCCTTTCTAGAGCTGAGCCTCCTTTCTCAGGGAGTCCCTCTTCCCCACCAGATCCCCACCCTATGCTGCCTGCCCTTCTCTTATCAGGAACCCTGAAGCTGCCTGTTCCCTGAAACCTAGTCATGCCCACTTTCCCAGCCAGGCCCCTCACTTAGCCAGGCCCCCTTCATCCATTTATACCTTTCCTCCCAGCTAGGCCCCCTTCCCCAGCCAAGGGCACGTCTCCAGTCAGGTCCCCTTGCCCTGCTAGGCATGCTTTCCCTATGCCTACTGCTATGGCCCTCCCTAGTCAGGCCCCATTTCCCAGCCAGTACTGTTTTCTGCAGCATCCCTACCCAGACCCCTTGCCTTAGCTTGTCCCTCCCCAGCCTGTGGCCCCTGGACAGGTAGGCTCTCTTTGGCAACCAGGCAGCCTTCCCAAGCCTGAACTCCTGTCTCTAGTCTGTCCTGAACCATGAAGGAATTCTACTCCAGCCAGAACCCCTTCTCCTGCTAGGTCCCCTTCACCCAATATCCCTATCTTCAGGCAGGCTCCATGACCCAACTTTATTTTCCTTGCCCAGCCTATGTCCCTTCACCCAGGGCACCTTTCCCCAGCCAGAACCTCTTCCTCAAGCTGTGCCCTCTTTAGATTGGTCCCTTTCTTAGCCATCTGACCAGTCTGTGTGCACCTCTCTGCCCTCTAACCACTTACTGCTGGGTTCCCAGCCGGTGTCTTGGTGGGGCTTCCTCCCCATCCTGTACCCCCACTGGGTGCTCCTCCTTCCTTCCTCTTCCCAGGCTAGCTTCAACCCCAGCCAGAGCCCATTCCTAAACCTGAGACCCTGCTGACAGCCTCCTTAGTCAGTCTGCTCTTCCCCAGCCCAGGCCTCTTTTCTTTTCTTTCTTTTTTTTTTTTTGAGACAAGAGTCTCACTCTGTTCCCAGGCTGGAGTGCAGTGGCATAATCTTGGCTCACTGCAACCTCTGCATCCCAGGTTCAAGTGATTCTCCTGCCTCAGCCTCCTGAGTAGCTGGGATTACAGGTGAGTACCACCATGCCTGGCTAACTTTTGTATTTTTAGTAGAGACGGGGTTTCAATATGTTGGTCAGGTTGGTCTTGAACTCCTGACCTTGTGATTTGCTCTCCTTGGCCTCCCAAAGTGCTGGGATTACAGGCATGAGCCACTGTGCCTGGCTGCCTCTTTTCAACTCTATGTCCCCTTCCCACAGCCAGGCACTGATCCCCAGCCTTTCCCCTTTTCAACGAGACCAGTTTTCCAAAGAGTTGCCCCTTTACTGGCCTTTCCCAGCCAGCATCTCCTTCCACAACTAGGCATCTTCTCTCAGCATTCCTTCACCTGCCCAGTTACCATGCAACCTTTCCCACCAGGATCCCTTCACCCATATGTGCCCCATGCTAAGCCAAGTCCACTTCCCCAGCTAGGAACCCTTTCTTAGCCTTGCCCCTCCCACAATCAGGCTCTCCTCACCCATTATGCTCTGTGCCCCAGTCTGTGCTCCTTTTCCCAGGCATGACTCCTTCTGCAGCCTTCGCCTTCCCAGGCTCCTTGTCCAGCCTATTGCGCCTCCCCTAGCCAGATCCCATTCTTATCCTGTGTCCCCCTCCTCAACTAAGCCCGTTTTCTCAATCACGTGTCCTTTCTCAGCCAGGTTCCTGTCAAGGGCAGAGGCCCTCATTCCCAGGCATGATCTCTTTCCCAGCAAGCCCTCTCTACCTGCTAGGCCCCCTCTCCCAGCCAGGCCCACTAACCCACCTATGATCCAATCTCTAGCCTGTGTCCTTCTCAGTATTCAAACCTCTTCCGCCACCATGTTCCCTTTCCTAGTCTGTGCCTCCCTCCCCAGTCCCTTCCTCTGTCAGAGTCCCTCTCTAGTCAGGCAACCTTCCCCTGCCAGGGTATTTTTACCCCCACGATCCTCCCTGCCCTGCATCCATCCGTCTTTCTTGGCTTGTGCCAGACTCTCAGGCCTTTGCTCCCTTTACAAGATGGGCACATTCCCATGTCTGGGACCCTTCCTCAGCCTTACCCTCTCTGCTAATCTGTGTCCTTCTCCCTCAGTCTATGTACTTCTACCCAGCTTATGCCTGCTTTCCTGCTAGATCTCCTTCCCTGGTCCAGTATCTTCTCCAGCTGGGACTCCATTGGACAGCCCATGTCCCCTCCCCTGGCCAGGTGCTCTTCCCCAGCCTTTCCCCTCATTAACAGCCAGGGACATCTTTCTCATCCTTTGGCTCTTAACTCAACTGGGCCTCCTTCCCTTGACTGGCCAGTTCTTCAATAAGCAGCTCCCCACCCCCACTCACCCTATTATCCCCTTCTCAGCTAGGCTTTCTTCCCCACCCCGTGTCCCAGTCCACAGATAGATTCCCTTGCCCAGCCTTGTCCCCTTCCTCTGCCCATGCCTCCATAGCCTGTTCCCTCTTCCCCAAGATCTTCCTCCTTGCCCTGCCAAGGCCACTCCTATGCTTGGCCCCTTTGGCCACCTAAGCCTTCTCAGCCTGGTCACCTTTTCCAGCCAGTGTTCCCCGACACTTACTGCCAGGTCCCGCCTTCCCCCATCCCAGCCAGGCTTCATTCTCCTTCCATGATCTCTCCACACCATATAGCCCTTCTTCAGTGTGTATGTCCTCCACAGTGAGGCTCCCTTCCCTATCCAGGCCCAATTCCTCAATTCCCCTGGCCAGACAGGTTGCCTGAGTTACCTCATTCAATAGCCACAGACTCCTTCCTACCAGGGGTCTTCTCTCAGTGAGCTGCCCCTGGTCAACCTATTCCTACAGCCAGTGCCTCTTTCTTGGCCCAGCCCCCTTTCCTGCCCTTTTCTCCACCCACCTCCACCACTGCCAGGACCCCTTCCCTAGACTGTAGCCCAGTTCCCAATAAGCTTCTCTTCCCAAGCCAGGCCCCCTTTCTCTCCTTCTCCAGCCTGCCCCAGCTGGGCCACCTTCTCCCACCGCCCTTCACCAGCCCACGCCCCAGCCTCCAACCTGGACCCTTTCCCTTTGCAGCTCTGACCCTATACAGCCCACTGAAGTAGAGCACCTTTCCCATTTCTAGACCCTTTCACCAGCCTTTGCCCCTGTCCCCAGTTAGCAACCACCACCATGCCCCCCAACAGTCCTATGCTCCTTGACCCTCCAGGATTCCTTTGCTGAAGTAGATCCTGGGACATAAACTCTATATGTTAGTTACACAAAAAGAGAGAAGCAGGTATTTTTTAAACGATTTTTATTTTTGAATAAATTACATGCTTAAAAACTTTCAAAAACATGTATTTTATTTTAGAGCATTTGGAATGTAGAATTTCCAAAATTAATCTCGCCGAATTACAGAAAGCAAAGATTAAAAGTTTCATAAGTTGTTGACTGCAAATCATTTCACTTTTATATTATTTTGTAAAATTCAAGGATATAAACAAGTCTTAAATAACAAAAGTACATTGTTCACTTTTTTGTCTCGTGTCAGTTATTGATGTAACAAAATAGAGCAAAACTTTAATATTTTAAATAATCTTTTAAGCTATTTTTCTATCTTTAAGAAATAAGGAAATTTATTCCATTCATATCTTTCACACTTTATATACCAGTTGATATAACAAGGTGGATCAAGTACTTGAATAAAGTCATAGCCTTTTATATCCTAAGAATAAAGGAAACTTACTAGATTCAGATCTTCACCCATTACGGTAAGTAAATTACGCATCAATCTGTCTCTTTTTGCTTTATACCAGTTGTAAAGATAATGAAATGTATCAACTATTTGAATAAAGTCATGTCTCTTCCTATCTTTGATAAAAGAAATTTACTTTAGATCTTTCACATATTAGAGTAAACCTTATCTAGGCTCTCAGTTTATCTAAATTTACTTTCTCTAACAGATTTACCTTACATGTTTAACAAATGCTGTTATTTAGAATTAGCAAACATCTGAGCAACTAAAGTTAATTAGGAACCACACAAGTTTTGATGAAAAAACAAAAAGTAAAGCAGATCTCTTGTTCATAACTTGAGACATCTGATGAGTAGCCCAGCTTAAATAAAGAGCAAACCATGACAATCTTTTCAAGGCATTTCAATCACATAAACTCCAATTTTGTCTCAGTAATCCAAGATATTCATAGGAAAACCTGGAGACTCCCCGAGCTAGTCTACTAGATTTATTTTTCCCAGAACACGTGAAACTTAATAACTTAACATTTCCCTTTTTTTTTTTGAGACGGAGTCTCGCTCTGTCTTCCATGCTGGAGTGCAGTGGCATGATCTCGGCTCACTGCAATCTCCGCTTCTGGGGTTCAGGCGATTCTCCTGCCTCAGCCTCCCAAGTAGCTGGGATTACAGGTGCCTGCCACCACTCCTGGCTAATTGTTTATTTATTATCCTTTTTTTTCTTTTTCTTTTTCTTTTTTTTTTGAGACAGAGTCTTGCTCTGTCTTCCATGCTGGAGTGCAGTGGCACGATCTTGGCTCACTGTAACCTCCGCCTGCCGAGTCAAGCGATTCTCCTGCCTCAGCCTCCCGAGCAGCTGGGATTACAGGCACCCGCCACCATGCCCGGCTAATTTTTGTATTTTTTGTAGAGACGGGGTTTTGCCATGTTGGCCAGGCTGGTGTCAAGCTCCTCACCTCGTGATCCGCCCTCCTCGGCCTCCCAAAGTGCTGGGATTACAGGCGTGAGCCACCGCGCCAGGCCAGCATTTCCATTTTTTATCCTAAGTTATACTCAACATGACCAATTCTTAGTCGGTGAGGGAGGTAAAGACCCTTAAGGGCAAGAAGAGGTTAAACTTATCAAACTTATGCTCCTCTGGTGGTACAATGCAGAGATTTCCCTCATATTGCTAGGGAATTTCCCTAGAATTTCATTTCCCACCTTGTGAATGCAGCAGGGTAGGAAAGTGGGGGCGGGGAGGGGTAGTTTTGAGTAAAAGGAAGGAAAAAACTCAGAGAAAAGCAAAGGGGGAAAATAAACTGAGCTTCCTGAGGAGATGTGGCGACGGTGATGCGGTTGGGCTTACTGGAGACGTGGGCGCGCCGCGCCCTTGGCGGCTTCGGCCTGGGCAGGCATCACGGAGTTGTAGTGCTCGCCAAGGAGGCAGGCATAGTGCAGGTAGACCAGGATGATCGGCTTCTTGGTGTACTCCTCCCCAATGACCAAGGTGGGCGAGTCGGCCTGTATCACCTCGATGGGGGTCTTCAGGACGTGCGACAGGGCCCTAAGCTCCAGCTGGCCTCCCCACGCCTTGCTGTTCACGATGTTGTCGCAGTAGATCAAGAAGTCGTCGGAGTCGAAGGAGTCGCCGGTCTCGGAGTTGCCAAAAAAGGGCAGAAACTCGTCGACGTGCTTCTGCATGTAGCTGGCGGTGCGGAGGCGCAGCGTCTCCACCGACATGTAGAACACCAGCTGGTCTTGAATGGCGCGATACATGCAGTGGCCGTCTGCTGGGATCTGTTTCATCACCAGACCCCTGGCCCCCAGGATGGCGGCGAGCTTCTCCTCCTCCTCACGCCGGAAGCCGGTCAGGTGCTCCATCTCGGCCTGCATGTTGCTCTCCTGGCGCTCTCTCTCCAGGACCTCCATTCTTTCACGCTTTCTCTGGGCTTTGCGGGAGCAGGGAGGCTCGTTTTCCAGATCCATCTTGGTCAGGTCTTCGATGATAGATTCAAAGCTCCTCTCATCCTGGAACTTCTCCAACTCTTGCCGGTGCCTCTGCACCATCTCGGCCTCCATGCGGGCCACATCTTGGAGTAACTGCTTTCTTTTCTTCTTGTCGGTCTTGGGGACCGAGTTTTTTAAGCTCTGGATCTGTTCTTGCAGCTCCTTCTTCTCGAGTTGGTGGCGGCGCAGTATGCGCTGCTGTTCACTGTGCGGATCATCCATGATGTTGAATGGCAAGCAGGAGTTGAAATTTGCTGGCAGTTCAAGTACAGAACAGACCAGAAGTCCTCAGCTTGTCCTAACGGTCACTCTCTTTCACCTCAGCCAGCTCTAACTGCCGCTTTTGGCTCACCTCAGTCTTGGCTTCCCCCGCCCCCATTCACATTCTTCTCTGCTATTGGTCACTTTGTCTCCATGGCCCCTCCTAGCACTAGGATTGGCTGTTGGGAGACTGGAACTACGTGCCCATTGGACCCCACAGCAAGCATTTTTGGCGGGATTCCAATACGGCCTTCCTGCAATGTGTGTGGCAGTTAGGCTTGCAGAGTCTATGACTGACAGCCCACTTCATTTCCAAGTCTGCACACAATGTATGCGCTAGCCAGGCCTGACAGCCGCATGACAGATACTATACCATCCGCTGAATGTGCTCTTACCCTGGACTTGGTATTGCCCCTACTGTTGAGGAAACAGTGTGGTTTTCTCCGGTCTTTCAGGTCCCTTCACAAGGGAACCCTTAATTTTTGTGCATCAGAACAAGGACATTTCCTTACATTCCTGCAAACACAGTCCTTTCAGTTAGCCCCTCGCCCCCTTTTTTTTGAGATGAAGTCCCGCTCTATCGCCAGTCTGGAGTGCAGTGGCAACCTCGGCTGACTGCAACCTCCGCCTCCCGGGTCCAAGTGATTCTCCAGCCTCAGTCTCCCGAGTAGCTGAGATTACAGGAGCCCGCCACCATGCCTGGCTAATTTTTGTATTTTTAGTAGAGACGGAGTTTTGCCATGTTGGCCAGGCTTGTCTTGAACTCCTGACCTCAGGTGATTCACTCACCTTGGCCTTCCAAAGTGCCTGGATCATAGGCATAAGCCACCATAAGCCACCATGTCCAGTGACAAGATTTTATTTAGCCATTTTGATAAGGGTAAAGTGTTACCTCATCGTGTGTGTGTGTGTGTGTGTGTGTGTGTGTGTGTGTTTGAGACAGAGTCTCACTCTGTCACCCAGGCTGGAATGCAGTGGCTCGATCTCGGCTCACTGTAATCTCCGCCTTGCAGCCCCACCTCACCAGCCCCGCATTCAAGAGATTCTCTTGCCTCAGCCTCCTGAGTAGCTGGGATTACAGGTGACTGCCACCATGCCCGGCTAAGTTTTGTATTTTTACTAGAGACGGGGTTTCATCATCTTGACCAGGTTGGTCTTGAATCCTGACCTCGTGATCCACCTGCTTCAGCCTCCCAAAGTGCTGGGATTACAGGTGTGAGCCACTGTGCCCAGCCTGATTGTGGTTTTAATATGTAGTTCCCTAATGGCTAATGATGTTCATTTTTTTATGTGCTCATTTGCTATCTATGCCATATCCTTTTCAGTAAAATGTTTACGTCATTTTCTCTAATTTTTCTTTTTTAAGGGATGGAGTCTAGCTCTGTCACTGAGGCTGGAATGCAATAGCATGATCATGGCTCATTGCAGCCTCAAACTCTTGGCCTCAGGTGATTCTCCCACCTCAACCTCCTGAGTAGCTGGGACTACAAGCATGCACCACTGTGCTGGGCTAATTTTGAGATTTTTTTCTTTTTTTTTTTTTTTGCCAGATGCGGGGCTCAGGCCTGTAATTCCAGCACTTTGGGAGGCCAAGGTGGGAGGATCTCTTGAGGTCAGGAGTTCCAGACCAGCCTGGGCAACATGGTAAAACCCATCTCTGCTAAAAATTAGCTGGTTATGGTTGTGTGTGCTTTTAGTCACAAACTACTGCTGGGGGCTGAGGTAGAAGGATAGCTTGAGCCTGGGTTGCAGAGGTTATAGTGAGCCCAGATTGTGACACTGCACTCCAGCCTAGGCTCAAGTGATCCTTCACCTCTGCCTCCCAAAGTACTGGGATTACAGGTGTCAGACACCATGCTCAGCCCTTCATTTTCCTATTTTCTTTTTGTCTCTCACTCTCTTTCTGTCTCCCTCCCTCCTTCCCTTCCTCCCTCCTTCCCTCCCTCCCTTCCTTCCTTCCCTTCCTTCCTTTCTTTCTTTTCCTTTCTTTCCTTTCTTTTTTTTTCAGATGGGATGGAGTCTTGCTCTGTTGCCCAGGCTGGAGTGCAGTGGTATGATCTTGGCTCACTGCAGCCTCCACCTCCTGGGTTCAAGCAAGTCTCATGCCTCAGACTCCTGAGTAGATGGGACTCCAGGTGCCCAGCACCAAGCCTAGCTAATTTTTGTATTTTTAGTAGAGATGGGGTTTCACCATGTTGGCCAGGCTGGTCTTGAACTCCTGAGCTCAAGCAATCCTTCCGCCTTGGCTTCTCAAAATGCTGGGACTACAATGTGCACCATCATATCCAGCTAACTGTTTTCTTAATTTTTGTAGAAATGGGGGTCTCACTATGTTGCTCAGGCTAGTTTTGAACTCCTGGGCTCAAGGGATTTTCTCACCTCAGCCTCCCAAAGTGCTGGGATTACAGGTGTGAGCCACTGTGCCTGGCCAGGATTTTTGCAGGAATCGTGTTCAGGCTGTATATCGATTTGGGGAGAATTGACATCTTTACTATGTCGAGTCTTCCAGTTCGTGAACTCCTGGATGTGTATCTTCATTTATGTAGATCTTCATTGATTTCTTTCATTGACACTATATAATTTTTGGCACATAAATCCTGTGCATATTTTGTTAGATTTATACTTAAGCATTTCTCTTTTTTTGACTGATTGTAAATGGTATTGGATTTTTAGTGTTTACATGGTCATTGCTAGTATATAAAAATACGATTGACTTTTTTTGGTTTATCTTGTATTCTATGACCTTGCTTAACTTGTTTATTATTTCTAGGTTTTTTTTTCTCCTTGATTCCTTGTAATTTTCTGTGTAGACAATCATGTCATCTGAAAAGGGACAGTTTTATTCATCCTTTCCAGTAAGTATACCTTTTATTTCCTTTTCTTGCCTTATTGCACTGATTAGAACTTCCAGCTCTATGTTGGATAAGAGTGGTGAGGGCAGACATCCTTGTTCTGTTCTTGATCTTAGGAGAAAAGAATTTCATCTTTCACTGGTAAGTATGATATTAGCTGGGATTACAGGCACCTGCCACCATAACATTTTTGTAGATGTTATTTATCTAGTTGAGGTCTTTCCTCTCTATTCCTATTTTTATGAGAGTTTTTGACATGAATGGGTATTGAATGTTGTCAATGTTTTTCTGTATTGATATGCTAATATGATTTTTCTTCTATAACCTATTAAAATAATAGATTACAGTGATTGATTTTTTTTTTTTTTTTTGAGACGGAGTTTCGCTGTCGTTACCCAGACTGGAGTCAATGGCACCATCTCGGCTCACTGCAACCTCTGCCTCCTGGGTTCAAGCAATTCTCCTGCCTCAGCCTCCTGAGTAGCTGGGACTACAGGCGTGTGCCACCATGCCCAGCAAATTTTTGTATTTTTAGTAGAGATGGGGTTTCACCATGTTGACCAGGATAGTCTAGATTTCTTGACCTCGTGATCCACCCGCCTCGGCTTCTCAAAGTGCTGATATTATAGGCGTGATTTTTTTTTTTTGAGATAGAGTTTCCCTCTTGTTTCCCAGGCTCGAGTGCAATGGTGCGATCTCTGCTCACCACAACTTTTGTCTCCCGGGTTCAAGTGATTCTCCTGCCTCAGCCTCCCGAATAGCTGAGATTACAGGCATGTACCACCACGCCCAGCTAATTTTGTATTTTTAGTAGAGACTGACCAACATGGTTTCTCCATGTTGGTCAGGCTGGTCTCGAACTCCTGACTTCAAGTGATCTGCCCATCTCAGCCTCTCAAAGTGCTGGGATTACAGGCGTGAGCCACCACACCTAGTGATTGATTTTTAAGTGTCAAGCTAGTCTTGCGTTTCTGAAATAAACCCCATTTGGTCATAGATTTTCCATTATTTTTATAAGTTGAGGAATTCTTTTGCTAACTTAAAAAATCTACATTCATGAGAGACATTGGTCTGCAGATTTCTTTTTTGGTACTGTTTTGTTTAATTTTAGTATCAGGGTGAGTACTAACTTTACAAGAAGAGAAGGGAAGTGTTCTCTCTTCTTCTATTTTTTGGAAAGAGATTGTGTAAAATCAGTAATAATTCTTCTTTAAACATTTGGTAGGATTCTCCAGTGAAACCATCAGGGCCAAGAAATCACTTTCTTGGGAGTTTTAAAATTAAAAAATAATTTTTCCTAATAGGACTAATCAAATTATGTATTCCATATTGAGTTAATTTTGGTAGCTTGTGCTTTTCGAGGAATTGGTCCGTTTCTTCTGAATAGTCAGATTTATGTGTATAGAGTTATTTGTAACATTCCATTTTTATTGTTTGGTGTTTGGAGTATCTATAGTGATATTCCCTGCCCTATTGGTAATTTATGTTTTCTCTTTTGTTCTTTGTCAATCTTGCTAGAGATTTGTCAATTTTACCGATTTTTTCAAAGAACTAGCATACTGTCTTATTGATTTTTCCCCATTGATTTTCTGTTTGAAATTTCATTAATTTATGCTATTTATTATATTCTTCCTTCTGCTTGCTTTTGGTTTAGTTTGTTCTTTTTTTGCTAGGTTCTTGAGGTGGAAGCGTGGGTAACTGATTTCAGACTTTTTCTCTTTTTATAATGTGTGCACTTAGCTTCCTTCTCAGTACTACTTTAACTGGTTCTTCCATGTTTTGATATGTTTAGTTTTCTTTTTCTTTTTTCTTTTCTTTTCTTTCTTTCTTTCTTTTTTTTTTTTTGAGATGGGTGAGTCTCGCTCTGTCACCCAGGCTGGAATGCAGTGGCACGATCTCGGCTCACTGCAACCTCTGCCTCCCAGGTTCAAGCAATTCTCTGCCTCAGCCTCCTGAGTAGCTGGAATTACAGGCACTCACCACCACGCACGACTAATTTGTTGTATTTTTAGTAGAGATGGGGTTTCACTATCTTGGCCAGGCTGGTCTTGAATTCCTGACCTTGTGACCCACCGGCTTTGGGCTCCCAAAGTGCTGAGATTACAGGCATTAGCCACAGCACCTGGCCGATATGTTTAGTTTTTATTATCCTTCAGTTCAATGTTCTTTTTGGTTTTCCTTGGGACTTTTTGGCCCATGGATTATTTACAAGTGAGTTGTTATCTTCCAAGTGTTTGTAGGTTTTCCTGTTATCTATTAATCATTTCTAC